AAAAAAATAATTGACTACAAGGCTACAAAGATTTATAATCAATCAAAAGTATTAATTAAGAAAATAGAATAAAAATTATTAATTTAGATTCAAATGATGTTTTAAATCTTGCCCAATTCCTTAAAATCTTATGACTATGTGATTAGGGCTGTCCAAATGACTCTTTGTTCGTGTTTGGCTCGCTAAGCAAAAGAGCCGAACCCGAACACACTTTTTGAGCTCGAAATATAAACGCTCGTTTACACCCCTAATATGTGTGTGTATATATATATATATATATATATATATATATATATTATTTAAGCCATCTGAAGTGAAGGAATCGGAGTAAATCAGTGCGTTCACATCCTAACAATTTCAATAATCGCATTATTTATTATTTTATTCATCTAAATTATTAAATAAATAACAGAATATCATGAATAAAATATTAAAAAAATATAGACTTTTTATTCTGACCATCACAAAAATAGTTGTAAAAGCTTGGATTAGAAGGTGAATTATCACTTCTGAGTGGTGCACATTTATTTTGCAAGAATTTATTTTTATAAAATTGACACATATGCATGGTTAGGCCATAATCATTTTTGTTTTTAATAATCTCTTAATTATTGGGTATAAGAAAAAAATTGCTATAAATAAAGCCGAGACGAAAGATGAAAGCAAGGGGCATTTTTGAAGGAGAAGCAGATTTCCCTCTCTAAGACCAAAAAAGACCAATGCGAAAGATATTAATTTTTAATGATATATTACATGGAATTAATTAATAAAATAGATATAGTAATAATGTAGAGGATAATGAATGTTCTAACAAAAGAGCTTTTATAACTTCTGTTGACTTCTATATTCTTGAAAAACAATATTGAATAATATTTATAAAATATGCTGTTATAATATTTTTGACATTTGTCATATTTAGACATAGGCTGTAAACGAGCCGAGCTTAAGCGAGCTCAGGCTTGGCTCGTGTTCGGCTCGTTTGAAATTGTTCGTGTTTAATTGGCTCGTGAACAGTGTGCTCGTGTTTGGTTCGATTTAAATATTCGTATTCGTGTTCGTGTTCGGCTCGAAATTGACTCGTTAAAATTAAAATGAAAAAATAAATGTAAAGTGCTGGATTCGAACCTGGACCAAATGAATACAAAAGAAGGCGCATAACAACATTACCAAACGAGCAATTAAGCTTTAAAATTAGATATGAAAATATATAATGTATTATTATATAAATAATATATGCAATATATTATTATATAAATAATTGTATATATATTTTTTATTTTCGAGCTAAAACGAGCCGAACACGAGCGAATAAAGAGTTGTTTGTGTTCGGCCCGTTTATAATTCGAGTTTTAAAATCTTGTTCATGTTCGGCTCGTTTACTTCACAAACGAGCTGAGCACGAGCTACTTAACGAGTCAAACACGAGTTGTTCGCGAGCAACGAGCTTTTTTGACAGCCCTCTTTAGACAATGTTAATTTCTCAATTTATGGCCTTTCTTTTGCGTAACAAATTATATATTTCAATATAATTAAATTTAAAAGGTAAAAATAATTTAATTATCACATAATACCCTTTATATTATTATCAGAATACTTAAATAATAATAAAATTAGTTATTAATTACTTCTTAAGATTTGAAGTGAGAATGTAGGGAATTTGAAGTCTTCCGGAATATGGGACTAAATTTGAATTTGGAATGCTTCTGACTCTTTTAAGAGAAGCAATTCATTACATTTTATTTTTGCAATTATTATTTCGTTTCATTATATCTCAGTTGTAACTATGAATTATAAATTATAAGTTTGTAACTGTTGAATCGAAAATTGTGAGCTCTGAATGGAGAGAGAGAGAGAGAGCAAGGTATTTATATGTATGACGGGAGTATTTTAATATGATTCGGGAATCCCATCGACATCCCACTTACAAGAGTTGAATGCTCACAAGAGACTTTTGTATGGCATTTTTAGGCCAAGCGGCTGGTAGCTCAGGTGGCCAATAGGTCAAGAGTCTGTTGAATTGGGAGGTTCTTAAGTTGAGTGGCCTTTAAGCCAGGCCACCACTTAGTCGGGCAGCCATCAGGTCGGGAGGTCACTTACTGAGGATCGGTGCCAACTGCCTCAGGACCATAGTATTTATTTCGCCTACTTTGTTAGTCCCGGATGGAGGGCTTCAGATCCATGTGTGTGAATTTGGTCAGACAGATTCTTTAAGAGATGATCCACTATAGATTGGAGATTTTAATTAGAGAATGTCAACCTCCCCGTACATAAGAGTCGGTCAGCAGGGTGTGCTAATAGTGGTATTCCTTGGCGGGTCGCACGGGGCCACCTTGCCTTTTCTACCAGCCTGAGATGTCTTTGAAATTCATGCTGACGCACTTTTGTTGTACATATTAAAGTTCCTTGATTATTATGTTCTTTGATAGTTACAACTACGATAAGAATAAGGGAATCAAGATTTTTTTAAAAACAAATTTGTGGAATTCATGCATATTTAATGCACAATACTTGACTACTTCTTGATTTATGTGCCGAATTCATTATAAATGAGATGTAGAGACTTATCATACAAGCACTCTTTCAGTTTCATTTTTTAACTCCTCAGTGGTGTCGAGTACGGAGGGTGGAAAGCAACCTAAATCCATTAGCTAGGAGGCTCAAACGTTGGTGTTTCAGGCTATGAAGAAGAGGGCAAAGTTCGTTTCTATGATCGAACGACCTGAAAAATGCGTTGTACCTGAGCTGAGGACCTCCGAGACTATAGTTGAAGTTGAATTCTAGGATTCAAACAATGACCGCTCGACAAAGAGATCCTTGATGGCGCAGAAAGGTTACCTCATGAAGAAACATTGCACGATGGGAAACAGCTGTCAGGATGAAAATCAAACGGATCGAAAAATCCATTGCCCACATATTCCCGAGTTGAGGGAGAGCAGGGTCAAGAACCTGCCTTCGGGTTGTTACCCCAGGAGGCGCAGCCAACAAATGAGCAAAGAGTTGCTCTCAACCCTTCTATGGTGGGTACTTCTCAACCAGCTTCTCACCCCCTACTGGTGGGGCAGGAGGTTAGGGGTGAAACCCGTGTTTTTGGTTCTTGTTAATGAAACTCGAATTCGCCAGCTTGTTGATTTATATATCGCCGTTTTATTCTCTTTTTATAAATAAATCTTCCTCACATGAGCTGAACATGCGCTAAGCCCGAATTTGCTCAAACTTGGCTAGTTCATGGCCCTATTGAAGTGGGTTGTCCATACCGTTGTTAATGGTCTAAGGAGCAAAATAGAGAGCAAATTGGCTTACCGAGTTAACATTCCCTCTAGTTTATTGAGATGTGTCGCTTCAAGGAAAAAAAAGGTAATTGAAGAAGATTGAGTGCCCTAAAAGATGCAACACTAAGATAAATTAAATTATATGGCCAAATTGTTCTAATATCAATCGTGTTTATAAATAACTAACATGATTGCACTCTCCTAAAATAAAAATCACTTT